AAGAAGGATTCATGTAACCGACCCCATTTAATGAGTTTAGTTGGTTAGCATTTTTTATTTATTCATTTCTTTCTCACAATTACAAACCAATACTATTTTTTATATCAAATAATCAAGTAATACATACAAAGTTTGAAATTATTGAAGTAAAAATAAATTCTTAATATTAATATTTAGTTATAGTTTTTAATATATTTATTATGTCATTATGACATCACGATGCAATTCCATTTGACCCAACAGTTGAACTAGTGACCCTTAACCTGGTCCCTTTACCAATTTGCTCAACAGTCTGAATTTTAAAACATTGTCCCTAAGGTTGTCTACAGTGAAAATAGTCTATAGAGCAAAGATGACTAAAACAACACCCAAATAGTACACATTAATGTGTTTGGGAGAGGAAAGATTAGGTACACACCTAACCTTTGGCATAGTGCACAAAGTGGTTACCCTGAGACTTGAACTCATAGCCTCAAGGTTATTAGGCTACGGTTTTAACATTGAACCAATGGTCATCCTTGTGGCAAAAAAAAACAAACAAACAAACAAACAACCACCACCACCATCTTAGAGAGAGGGAGCCATGTTTCTCCAAATAACTTTCCAAATACAAAAAGGAACAGCATCATCACACAAATCTTGCTAGAAATAGCATACTAAAAAAATCTCCCATTGAAAACCCTCTAGCCTCCAGGCCAAAGCATTCTCACCACTCCACTAAATATTTGAATTATGCAGTAATTTAAACAAAAATAATAACCCTCAATAGATTGCACTTTGCATGGGTGGCCAACACAACCTATGCCTAGAAAATCTAAAAATTACAAAAATAGCCCTAATGTCAAATAATGACAAAATAATATTATTGAAGTAAACAAAACGTTAATAAGCATAACATCTAACTTGATCAAGACCCAAGATGCAATTATTCTAGATTCCAAATGGTCTCACATCACCTAGGGCATGCCAAACTAAAACAAGCATTAGAAGCATCCTTTCCGTGTCACTTGTACACCTTCAAAGCGGCTGCCATGCTCCACCATAATTCTTGGCAAAAGAAGTACAATCTTGTGACACGAACATGTAACCATTATACGGAAGAAAAGTTTTGTCACTAAATATGACAAACCTCTCCATGCAACAGCAATCTTAAATATGTTCCTAACTCAACAAAACAATAGCATTCTTAAATATGTTCCTAACTCAACAAAACTAAGTCCTATTCATACACAACATGCCTAAGGTGGGACAGAATTTGATGCTTGTATATTACATGTCTAAACAAATATAATAGGTTTTAAGGCCTAGAAGCAAGGCTACAAACCCCACAATTGTCAAGAATCCTTGTTCTTCCGAATATATTGTCCTTGTCATAGCAAAAGTAGGGTCACACATTTGGTTGGTTTGGTACTCACATGCTCTATTATTAGAATCTTATGATTCACGATTCGATTCGCAATTTTGCAAAATCAATACAAATCTATGAGTGAACCTATTTTAGAAGTACATCTATAGTAAATCGCACGATTCACAATCGATTCACGATTTGATTCACTTTTTACGATTCATGCAATTCTTGAAACTATTATGTCCGACATATTTTCAACTATTTTTTTTCTCCATCTTTGTAATGAAAATGACATAATACAACTTCTAATAACTTTTAATATCAATACATATACATGATTTGTTGTCGTTTTAGTAATCATGGAGTTTTTAACAAGATCCAATCAAATTCAGTCAGACCCAACATGTTTTTAACCTTTCTTCTTATTTTTGTCCCTTAAAAAATCATAATATATCTGCTTTAAGATTAAGGTAATTTACACCATAAATTATCTATTGCTATTTTATGAAATTAAATATAGTTGAATATTACATGGGCAAGGTCAATTATACTTTTTAAAATGTTTTTGGCTTCTAAAATAAAAGATCCTAAATAATTCTATTATTTTGGAAAAGTATGTATGCTTATTGTCTAAATATCAATATAGTTGTTAAATTATTGTTACTTTGAAAAATAAGAGTTTGTTTTTGTTTACTATCTTTATTAAGAATGATTGATAAGAAACATCAAAAAAAGAAAAAATGTAAGATAGTGATCTTTCTATAGGAATCTTTGTTAACTTCTAATCTATTAAACTACACGACCATCATTAAAAACAACATTTTCATTGATTTAAGTCCAAATATTTCATATTTATAAAATATATTTAACATCCAAGGATGTATATATATTTTTCTAAGCAATATAGAAAAAGTGACCGAATCTTTACGATTCACGATTTGATTCAATTCACGATTCGGTACAAAGCCATTTCGATTCACAATTCGAATCCCGATTTGACAACTATGCATGTCTTGAACTGACCAAGGCTAAGTAACAAGAAACCAAATTAATTTGGTTTGGTTCTAGGTTGAGTAGTTGGGACGAGATGACCTTTTAATTTTATCTACCTACCTATTTATATAGCTGTATAATTTACATGAATATATACAAGCTACAGTTGCCTTATTCAAATGTTCCTTTCCTATTGATTCATTACTCAGTTTATAAATTAGTGACATAAGTAACCAAATATTGTTTAAGATTATCAATTATAATAAAATATGAGATATCCTAATAATCAATAAACAATTTGATTAAGCTCTCAAATATGGACTCCTTTATGATTAGTCTATTCTTTATTTTCCTATAATGATAATATGGGGTTGCACAAAATACCCTATACAACTGGACCACAAGCAACAAAGCCGATATTGCTCTCTTGAATACTGATGGTTCAACGTGTTGATATCTTTCAGCCTTAGACAGACAATAAGGCATTTAGAAGTTTTACAAGGAAAAAAGAAAGGGCTAATTACACGAACCCCTCCAGGGTATCTGACAATTACAGGTGCCTCCCTTGTGGTTTTTGAAATTATAGCTCACTCTGTTTGGCTTGGAGTTTTCAAAAATAATTTTCTGAGTTTTTAATTTGTATTTTTTGTATTTTTAGTATTTTTTAAAATATTATAATCAATTTTTTTCCCCTTTTTAGATCCACTTAATCTAGATATACTTAAAAAGTATAAGATTTGTACAAAAAGTTTTAAAATATTCATTGAAAACAATAAAATACGAAAATATACTGAATTTTCGTATTTTTTTTGTATTTGATGAAGTTTTTAAAGATTTTTTCACAAATATTATATTTTTTAAGTATATCTAGATTAAGTGAATCTAAAAAATAAAAAATAAAAAAAGCATAAAATATTAAAAAAAATTTAGTAAAAACAAAAAACACGAAAAATAAAAAAACTCAATTTTTTGAGAAGTGGTTTATGAAATTACACTAAATTCCCTGCCAAAATTGTTTGGTGCTGGTAGGAAATGGGAATTGAAAACTTACTATTTACCCTTCTACAAAATCCAATTTCAGTTACCTCTTTATTTATCGACATAACCAAACAACCCTATTAGATTTATTATCACTGTAGCCAAACACCTTGAACCACCATCCACCATCCTCACTCTCTCTCTAATAGAGACATTGCTCTCTCTCACTCACTCTCTATATAACCAAAAAACAAAAAACTCTCTTTTTTCTTTCTCACTGTCCGCCAAACATTAGTCACTAAACACTGGCCAACAGCCACCACCACGACCAACCCACCCCACTGCCACCATAATCACCGGCCGCCGCCACCCCTCACTGGCACATCCAACATACCGTTACCCCACTGCCAATTCACTGGGTCTGGTTTCCAAAGGGGGGGAAAAGTGTGGATATCATTTTGAAGCAGCTATGCTACAGGTAGAAGAAGTTGTGTCCATCAAGCTCCAAAGCTCTAACAAAGAGTTGCAAGATCTTGGATATACCACACTTTGAAAGCTAATTGGATTACAAATTAAATAACAAATGATTTAAAATAGTTGTTCATATACAAATGTATGTGTGTGTAAATGCAGTCTGATTCAATTTTTTGGAAAGGGTTTGCCTCCATTATCAATTTACTTCCATTAGTGTTGTGTATATATATATTATGTATGCTTATGTACATAACAGTTTAATGAAGTGCATGCGAATGGAATTTTATAGCCATTTGAAGATGTTTTGGTGGTGGTTTTGGTTTTGGGAATAGAGAAAGGGTTGGGTAGCAAGCTCATATCATGTTTGAGGAAATGTAAAAGAGAGGGATTCAAATGGATAATTCTTTGCAATTGTAGAGGTGGCGGTGTCGTGGGTGAGAGGGAGGAGGTGGTGGTGTTACTATTAAAGAGAAAGAAAGGGGGGCGGTGGTAGTGGTGTTGCAGAGGAAGAGGAGGTGCTGCTGCTGTTGCGTGGGGGGGAAGAGGAAAAGAGGAGAGAAGAAGAGAAGGTGAGTGTTTGGTTGTAAGGATAACATTTTTGGGGTGTTTGGGAATAAGGGTAACTTTGGAATTTACATACAAAAAATTGTTGAAATAAGAAATTGTCGTCATTATCTCTAACGGCTAGATAACAGAGGGGGAGATAGGTGTATATTGTTAGCAAAAGTAAATGGATCAGTGTAATTTCACAAACCACAAGGGAGGATCCTATAATTGTCAGATACCTCAAGGGAGAGGTACCAGTAATTAGCCCAAAAAGAAAACAAGGAGAAAACATTCAATAGATGATCAAAGACAATGAAATTTAAGAATACATATAACTCACTTATAAGATGACAAAGGTTTTAACATTGGAGTACATTTAATTGTATAATATCATTGGAGTGCATCAAGGTCTATGATATCATAGGAGTATGACAAATGTTTGGACTGCATTAAGTTGTATAATATCATTGGAGTATGTCATATTCTACTAATTAAAATTGTTTGTTTGGTCTAGTATTGTATTTATCCTATTCAGGGAGCTTCCAAGTAATTTTACTTGGACATGTGCTTGCATGTAAGAGCGCTCATGTGCACACAAAGAGTAGTGAACAAACTACTTTATGCCAGTGATCAAAAATCAAAAACTCAAAGGAAATTTTACCTCCCATATAATGGCTGATCGATCTTTGGATGATGATGCCAAATATTTTCCATTATGAGAGAATTGCAAAAACCATACTTCATCCTCATGTGCATGCAATACCTGTTCCATTAAGATACACAAGAAATTTTTTTAATTTCGAATGATTACTAAAAATGTTTAAATCAAGTGGGAGCTCCCTTCAGTGTATATGAAGATCATTAAATAGGTACTTGTAGAGGAGAAGTTATTTAGTGGTCCCAGACATAGTTTTAAAAGGCTTTATTGAGGCTTGCCTCCAAGCGAGGCCAAGGCAAAATGCATCGAGGCTTTGACTTTTTTTTTTTTTTTTTTGATAACTCAAGGTGTCCGGGCCAGCTTGCGCGCACCTCGACTAATCCCTGGGAGACCAATCCCACCTAATCCCTGGGAAACCAATCCCACCGTCCATTAGTAGGGGACCTATTTAAAGCCAGAGCAAAACTCTGTATGAACTGGCCCAACACAAGAATTGATAGCACCTAAGAGGTTTTGAACTTAAAACTTAGAGAGGAGCAAACTCCTAAGTCCCAAGCCTACACCACTAGGCCAACCCTTGGGGGTTCATCAAGGCTTTGACTTTTACGCAACACTCTCCACAGGCTTGCACATCACAGTCTGAGGTGTGTGCCTCATCTTGTGCTTTATATGCCTTTTGCTCATAAGCATATGTATACACCTATGAAGGGCTTGTCTTGAGCGCTAAACTTAGTTTGATACACAGTTTAAACATAAAAAAGAAGAAACTATTTTGTAATTACATTCCATGAAAAAAAATTAAGTACATGACCATTGACCAACCAATAAAAAACACAAAACCAAGGCTCAAGTGAGAAACTTGGCAAATGAAGCTAAAACTTTGATTTCACCTTTAATGAGGACAAGTTTTCTTCCCTGTAGTGAAATGTTCAACGCCTTGAGGAGTATTTACACCTTTATACTTAGTTTTTAAATTTTTTTTTTACTAATTTTAAATATTATATTTAATTGCTAAATATAAATTTTCAAAATTAAAAATGCTTACACCTTGCCTCACTAAGGGTAAAATGCCTTGTATTACACATTCATCTTTAAAAACTTTGGTCCCAGGCACAGCCTACGTAGTGCTCCACTCCATGCAGCATGTGACACCAGGCTACTCTTATCAATGGGTTTGGTGGCCACACCAGAAGCCCCAGTAGTAGGGATTTCAAGTGGTTCCCGGGGCACATGTTAAACAATATGGAGCAACACATGGCATAGGCCACACCGTGCACACAAAGCACCTAATAATCTCTCAATTGTAGAGGTAAACTTAAATTCAACAAATTATTCAAAAATGAGAATTCATCACGGAGTGATTGCAAAGGATAGATTAGAAACTTTAAAATGTTAGCAAAGGAAAACAAAAAGCAAATGTATTTTTATTGCTTCTTTTGTTTGAAAAGTCAATAATAAAACATTATATTTACCATAAACGATATGGTCTAGTTAAATGTACAATACATCATCACAGCATAAGCCCAGGAGAGGACAAGAAATATGTAAGGAGACAAGTTCTAGAAATTGGTTCCATTGCAAAGAGATTCTACTCAAGATCTCTTGAAATCACACTATTTGGCATCCCTTATAGTAGCACACTTTTTTTTATCTTTTTATCTTTTTTGAGTCACATTATCTCTCTACTTTTTTGCACATCTTTTTATAAAAAGTCAAAAATATACTTATTTAGATCATCCCAAATACCCTCAGCTTTGGTCAACTCTTCATGTTTTTGTTGGGTAATTATTGTGAGAATATTAGTGTACCTCTATATATGAGATACACTAATATTCTCACAATTACGCCACAAATTTAGGTTTAATGTGTTTTTGCAAGTTTATTGAGTCAGTAATGTTTTAGAAATTTTAAATTATATTGGTCTAAGTGTATTATATGCCCATCATCTTTGCATTATTAGTAGATAAGCTAAACTATGTTATTTAGCCTTAATGCGCTAATGCATTATCTAACAAAGGTTAGAACAATTCTAAAGACAAGTCTACAATTTTTGAATAAAAAACAACCAAACTCTTTACATTGACCATCTCTGAGGTTTCTAACAATTGCAAGACTTTTCCTAAGGTTTCTACAATAACACTGACCTCGCTCAATTTATTTGACAATATATGAATTCCGCCTTTTGTTATCCAACCATGAAGGACTTGATAAAATCTGTAGATGTCACCATTTTTTGCCATGGGGACAAAATTATTTGCTGAGTAGTTCACCAATTTTTTTCCCCTTTTCATGTTTCCAAATGATAAAATGGTAGGTATCGTTTGGAAACACTTAAGCTATGTTTGGATGACAAGAAACCTGAGGGGTTATGGTAATCTCATTATTAGTAATAAAATTCATGTATCAATGTTATTCAAGAGTTGGTTTCGCTAGAAAATCTCTACGGAAAAATGATAAAATTCCAAGTATGTGAGATTCCCATGGGAAGTGGGGGAATCAAATTCTTACTTAGTTTGGGAATGTAATTCTTGCTCGAATGAGTAATCATGAATCACTTTCCTATTCCAATTCATTCCAAGCGATAGAATCATGAGAACTAAGGAATCACATTCACATTCCCCCTCAAGCTTCCTCCCATACAAACTTAGGCCTCGTTTGGGAAGCGACCCGTTTAGCCAAAAAGTCAAAAAATCACTAAAAAAACCAAAAAGCCAACAACTCATACCAAAAAGCCAAAGATACTCTTTTCTCTCTAATTTTTGCACATCTTTTCGTAAAAAACCAAAAAGTCATCCCAAACATACTAATTTTTTTTAGTTCATATTTTAGCCAAATAGCCAAAAAGTTACTAAATTAGCCAGTTCACAAACGAGGCCTTAGTCTTACATTTTACTTTTTTTGTTTACAAAAAACATTAAAAATATTTATATTTAGTTTTGAAAAAAACAAAACAAAAAATATGTTTGGTACACACATGTTTTAACAACTTATTTTGAAAACAAGTGAGAGGAGGTGGCCGAAGGTAGTTGCAAGTGAGAGGTGGCGGCCGAAGATTGTTGTCAATAGACGGAGGTGGTAACTTACGGGAGATGGTGGCCAAAGGTGGTTGCCCCCAGCAAGAGTTGGTTGCTATCAGGTCGAAGGTGGTTAACAGAGGTCGAAGGTGGTTGCTAGCCATGGGAGATGGTGGTTAGAGAAGGTCGCCAATGGCGGTGACTGGAGGTGGAGGGTGGCCAGAGCTAGTAACTGAAGGAGGTCGTCGACAATGGTGAACAAAAAGGGTAATGGGTGTGTTTGGTGGAGATTATTTTAAGGTAAAAGTTGATACTCAAAAAGCAAAAGCTAAAAGCACCCATCTCCCAGCCTTTGAAAAATCGATTCTTTTTCAACTTATTTAAGTTATTTCTACCTAATAAGCTATACGCAAAAGCTGCACCAAACAATCTAGCACAAACTCCCAAATTAAAATAAGCTATAAGCTACTTGTACAATCCCCACCAAACACCCCTAATGAATAGTGGGTGATGGCAGGAGATAGTGGCGCAGAGAGAAGAATGAATGAAAACTTAGTTTCAAAACAAGTGAAAAACAAATTTTTTTTTTTGGGTTGCAATAATTTAATAAATTTTGCAAACTGTTTACAATTTTTTGGAAATGAAAATAGGCATGAAATGAGTTTTTGTATATAATTTTCAAATTTTTGTAAACATAATAAAAAAAATTGGAAACATGCATGTTACTAAACGGCTCCTTAGTGTTTGTTAGGTGTCTTATGCTATTTGTTGAATATTAGTAGTTGTAATGTTGGATTTGTTGGTTGTTAGTATTTAGAATGTTGGATTCGTCATTTTTTTGGAGCTCTTGAGGTTTTGTCTATGTTATTTATAAATTTTTTATAAATTATATATATATATATATATTCATTAGAATTCACCTTGCTTCAATGAAGCCATTGCCTCGGGCTTTAGGCTTCAGGAGGCCTAGTCACCTCAGTTCATTTTTTTCCTTAAAAAAAAACTGATTATATGAATGTACCACAAGCTATGCAGCACAAGTACTTACAACAGAAGTAAACTTAACTGTGTGCTCTTCTTGTCAGGTCTATCTCACGATTTCTCCAACAATGACTAAAGTACACCCTCCCCTCTGTCTACCTCTCTTGGGATATGAAACCTTGTTGTGACAGTGCTGTGTCAGTCATCCATATCAGTGCATGCTTATGCAGACACATTACAGCAATGCCAACGAATAGAAATCACAAGCAAAAGGAAGATTCTCGCAACATATTTGCAATGAGAAAAAATACTAATGAGACAAAAAGATTATCCATACACAAACTCATGTAAGTTCAGTCATCTATAACACATTTGCACATAAACAACGGCAATCAAAAGGCACCCTAAACAGTTATTTCCTTATTCTATGAAGAAGTGCATAAACAGAACTCAATAGAGCACTTCAAACAATTACATAATATTGATTTGACATCAAATTTAATCATTCCTAACAAACCAACAATTCATGTTACTTATACACGATCTAAAATCATGAGAAATTTATATTGTTTCCAGTACTGACGAGGAAAAGAACAAGTAGAAACAGCAGCAACTGAGATTAGAATCTATCTATGTATCTTGAACAAAGAAGACATCTAACCTGTAATGTTCGAGAAGGAATCAGGTTTCTTCCGCACTGATGATCTGACAACAAAGACAGTTCATTGTCCAATGTGTTGTGAAACACACAATTAAATTGCTGCATTTCAAGAGCCTGCTCAACTAGATGTTCCAACCTTCTTTCAGGAATCATAACAGCTGCAGGAAGCAACTTCAGCAATTTCTCAAGAAATCTTGACCTTGAGTCTGCACCAACATTATCTTGACTGGAAAGCCCAAGTACAACAGACTGAGAAGGTAAGATAATGCAAGTAGCAAGTTCATGAACTCGGCCTGTATTGATGGAAAGGGGCACAATCTCATTCCTAAGAGTATGCAGAGCATCCATGTATTCTCCCACTTTTAAAAGCTCTACAAACTTCTGTTCCAATATCAAGAAAGATGTTGATTTCACAATGGATTCATCAGCCAGCTCAATAGTGCGCAATGTGGCCAAACTTTCATCCCACTTTCCATCCAGCACTTGCTGCATAAACAAACTTAATGCTGATGGGTGCAACTGTATCCCAGATTCTTCCTGCAGAAGAGCCCCAGTCCTATCATATCCAAGAGAGTATAATGCCCTAGTTATAATTTTCACAAATTCATGCTTCTTGAAAACTCCTTTTGAACCAATCCTTTCTCCATCTCCTTGGGAGAATAACGGCCTAGCCATAGCGTCTCCCAAAGAGCCAGATACCGGCTCTAGATAAGATGAGTTGTCAAAAGATTTCTCCAAATCTCCTGGAGGAACTCTCACACGTTTCAAAGGTGGTTCAGTGTCCTCTATACCTCCCATGAAATGCCAAACTTAGCCCATGAACGTTCTAGATACAAGCAGAAAAAAACTAGAAATGATTAGAAGAAAAACATTTGCCCCCAAAAGTGCCACGTTGAAACATTTGGAAAGGAACTATTTCATGCATAACTTAGACAGGGGAGAAAAGTTGTGGAAAGCATGTATAAATAAATTTCAAACAGCAAAAATATATATAACCAAGGAGCACAAAAAGAGCTTGTGAAAGCAAAACAATAACATGGCCGCATGGCGAGTACAGCAGTTGTTATGTAGACATGAACCTTGTGGTTCTCAATGTCCCCAGTTTTAAATGGATAATAATGGCAAGAATACAAATAGGTCATGTTTGATTCACAAGATTAATATCCATTGGATTAATAACCATTGAATTAATAATCTCACCCCTACCGATTACTAATAACCCTAAACCAAAATGTTAAAATAAATATAGGATAATTTAGCCCACGGATTAATAATCCCAATCACACGCTCTAATCCAACGGATTAATAATCCCAATCCCACGCTCTAATCCACCCAATCAAACATGCCCATACAGAAATGCAATTGATCAATGCTAGTAAGTACTAAACATAAATATAGTTATGCAGCATTTTACGCTAATTTCAGGAGTCCAAATATAGCTTTCCAAAATAGGAAAGAGGGCAAAAAGCAATTTTCAAGTTTTCTAGTTAAAACAAAGACACCAATATTAGTTTTGCGGCCATCTCCAACTGGGGAAACAGATGGTGGGAGGCAAGCTTTCGTGTTTGTTTTACCGTCAAAGCGTGATGCAGAGGGCCGTGATTTACACTTGGAATGGTGGACACCTTGTGGTTCGGAAAGCGTTTGGTGATCGTGATGTTGGTAATCGCTGCGGTGGATTTGTGGAGGCGGATGAGACGTCGTCTGATCTGGGATGGGTTCGTCTCAGAGTTCGAAGCGCCCAAGGAATGCCATCGCTGGTCTCCGTACAGTGGGGCTCGTGGAAGTACTCGCTACCGGTGTGGGTAGAAGCCAGTCCGTTGGTGGACCCTGTTTCGCCGCCGGTGATGTCAGGATGGATAAGGAGTCCCAAGTTTGGGACGAAATGATCGGAGGATCTTCGCGAAGATGGGGGGGACATGTATATATACACAAAGATTTGGTTTGGATGTGGATCAGGGCAGGCCAATCCGGTTTGGGCCTGGTCACCAAGCTAGGGACCGGGTTGGTCGTGTGGGCCTGTTTAAGGCCCAAAATGTGACGGTTCACTTTGGGGGTAAACAGGTTTGGGCCACAGCCACTAAGCAGAAGAAAGATGGTTTGGGCTGTGACAGGTTTGTGTTGGGCCTCCAAAATGGTGACGGTTTGCTAAGGTCTAGTACAAGCGACCCGCCCGTTTCGGGTCAAGACAATCCGGATGTTCATTGGGTCTTTTTGACGATTTTTGAAGGATTGGGGCTTCGCGAGCAACACGACGGCGAGTTAGTGCCGTCAGTAGAGGAGCCCGACCATCGGGAGGACACTGGGAGTGTAACGACCCCGAAATGGGTGTTACAATTATTTTTCTTAATTATGCGTTAATATGAATTAATTTGAGAATATTTGTCGAAATTTGAGAAATATCTGTTGGGGCTACGACTTTGGAACTAAAATTGATGACCTTAATAGGTTCAAAAACCGAAATTGAGTACATGAATATGCTAATGGAAATTTTTAGAGTCATTTAGAAGTTTAATTGAAAATTGATTTCGTCTAATTCATTAAGGTGTGTTTGGATGGTTTCATTGCGACTTTACACTGCAAATTGAAGGCATTAGAGGCTTCAGAAACCATAACGAAATACATATTTGTGATTAGTGTGATTTTTAAGACTTAATATGGAGTTTTGTAAAAATCTGATTCATAATGGATTAAATTGGATTTAATTAAATATTAGATAGTATATATACATATATATTGCTTAGGCTCAACAAAAGAGAGGAAGAAATATCTGTGTGTGTGTGTGTGTGAGAGAGAGAGAGAGAGAGAGATAGACTTCTAGAGACTAAGAGAAGAAGATAACGAAGAAGAGAAAAGAGTTTAGGGCCAAAACAACCATCAAAGGTAAGGATCTTTCTCTAATTTCATGAATTTGAAATGATATACTCATCAATCTATGGAATTTAAATTGTATTTGGGATAATTCATGTTTCATTGAGAGTGTTTGTGGGGTAAAGTGAAGGAGAATACCTACATGAACATGTATTGTTAGATTTGTGGAAATTAGCTCATAAATTCACCATGTATGACATCAAATCATGTAATTCATGTTCATAGATTTGTTTTCGTGCATGGCTTCTAAGGTTTGAAAGAAATTCCTCCATGAAAGCTTGAGTTGGAGCTTTTAACTACATGTTTGGGTTTTGACATTTAATTCATGATTTTTGGTTGCTTGATGGGAAATTGGATTTTTTTTTAAAGGTATGATTTTTATTTGATGTTAGAATTATTTATTCAACTTGTTTTGTTGAGTTTTGAGCGTTGAATTACATGAAAATAAAGTCGATTTTGTAAAAGAATAAGGTTCCATTCAAAAGCAGAAGTTCGAACTAAAAATATACCCAAACCGCTAGAGCGACCTGGGCCACCGCTTGAGCGGCCAATCCCTTTTTGCCCAAAATTGCATTCTGAAGTTCCACCGCTCATCCGGCCAAGGCACTGCACGAGCGGCCAGGCTACCGCACGTATGGCTAAACAAGGTAGATTTTTCAATTTTGTTTTCTTTCCGTTTTCTGACTTCTGAGCCTTCATTTACATGGTTTTCACGTGTTGTTTATATCCATAAACATCTCATAAGGATGAAAATAAGTAAAAGAAACATGGAAGTAACTGAATGAGCAAGTAGCAGATAACTAAATAAGGTTAAGAATCAACTGTATAACTCGAATGTGTATTGAGAAATTATGCTATGAATAGTTGTGTTTGTAGGCCCAGACTCGAAGATCGAGCCACGGGTTTTGGAAGGCCACTGCGAGTAATATTTCTGTAAAGATAGGTTGATATGAACTATGTTTCTACTATTATGCGATAAGTTATAATTTCTGAAATGGTATTTTGATTATGTAAACGAATGTCTTATTTGCGAATCTATTATGGCATCCATAGATAGTCCCAAGTCATGGGGGACGGCATGTAAATGCGGGTCCATGACATATATGTGATACGAGATCTCGTTAACCACTTCATTGTAGTGACATGTGTTTAATCGGTTTTCGAAACGTATGACTCTAGTCGGAAGACGATACGTGATATATTCTATGGAAGGTACCATTATGTTATGTTTTGATATGAGACTGATATGAATAATTGTGTCATGATTTGTTTTACGGATATGATATATTTAGAATTCATTCACTAACCCATTTACTTTAATGTTATTCACTAGGCTTTAGCTCACTATTTTTATGTATATGTATAGGTGAGCGTTCTGGAGGGCAAGTTTAGAAGGAGACTTTAGCCGAGCCACTGTTTTGAAGCCTACCAAGTTGATTTGTGTGCCTCCGAGTTAGGTCTGGAAGGACATTGCCAAGATTTTGGTCATGAAGAACATTTTCGACACGTGCATTTGTTTTATATAAAATATTATGTTATAAGTTATTTAATGTTATGTGGGTAAATTAACGCTTATGTTTGTTCATATAGTTGCACAGCCCATTGGACTCTTAGTATTTTTGTATATTACTTCCGCTAGCCCTGATTAATTTTGATTGTACAAGAAGGCCTTTGGTAATCCAAGGATTACTAGCCGATTACGACGCCAAACTTTTAGGGGCAGGTTTGGGTCATGACAGGGAGGCTGTCGTCTAGTGCTCAGTATCTTAAGTATCCTCGAGATAGGGAATGCTTATCGCATCATGAGAGTCCGACGTCAAAGGAGCAGCATCAGACTATGTCGGGATTTGAGGGAAATTACATGGAGATGTAGTCAGCAAACAAAACTCGATGGGCCAATATGGAAGACAAGTTGGCGATGGTGATTAAGCCGATGAAATGGGATATTGAGATAGACATGTTGACTGTTGCGAAAGAAGAATGAGAGTCGGAGGCAGAGAAGGTGTGTATACACTCTATTTTGACCGGCTCTAAGACATGGGTGCTTTGTTTTGATTGCCCGATGATGACAATTAGAATGTGTTTCTCACAGAATCCTCAGTAAAAAAGATAAAATTTGAGCTTTAATACCAACCTTCACACATTTTTGGCCAAACTATTTTACACCTTTAAACCCTCTTTTCAAAATATTTTTCCAAATGTTTCTATAATGTTCTGAGGCTTCCATTTCAATTAAAATATTACACTTTTCAATAAACTGAGTAAGGACAGAGTGGAAATAAATGGAAAGGATGTGAAATCTTTGAAAAATTATTTAAAAAACATATTCTTCATAGGTTTGGATTTGAAGGAAATTGGAGGGGATGAAAGAGAACTAGTTTAGGAAAAGAATGAGCGTCAAATCATTAAGAAGGAAATGAACAACTGTTAATAAATTAGGCATATCTCTTTGTACACTTCGAATTTAAATGTGAGACTACCACCATTGGAAAGTAGACTTTTGGTGCTTTAATTTAGACCCAAGAATAACCTTAAACCGAGTCCGAATAAGGGAGATATGCCCGTTTGAATTTGGGCTTACGATCAGATTTTGTTGACCTAAAATGAACAGTCTTCACTAAATTAGGCATATCTCTTTGTACACTTGGAATTTAAATGTGATACCACCACCATTGGAAAGTAGACTTTTGGTGCTTCAATTTAGACCCAAGAATCACCTAAGAACGAGTTCAGATAAGGGAGATATGCCATTTGAAGTTGAGCTTAAGAGCAGATTTTGTTGAACCAGCCCGAAATAGCATCAAACCCTCTTTTCTTTTTTTTTTTTGTGGTTTGATTGGGACACCTCATTAACTTATTTTCTGATATTTCACCACCAAATATATATACACTCAGCCTCCATTACCTAAGGCTTGATTCATTATAGATAATGCTCCACTTTTGTCTCTCATTAGCTCCACTAGTGCTCCATTAGCTTCAATATCTTCCTTTTGTCTTTCATCTTGTCTTCCACCATTTCTCTACTTGCTTAGCCTTGCTTAGCCTATATATACACATCATATTGTTGAGAGAAGCAAGAGGATAGATTAAGGAGAAAACATTTGAGCTAGAGAAAAGAGGAAGAAATGAGAGAAATGTTGAGTTTTTGAGCTAAACACACTCCTATCTTCCAAAACACTTCCAAGCTTCCATAGCTACTGAAATTCCTCATTTTCATACATCAAAACCACCCCAAAAATTCTGATATAGCCAAAGATCAATTGCCTTGCTCATTAGGAAGAGTGTTTATTGATTGAAAGTGAGAAAAATTAGAGAGTTAGCCACTTTCCATACTATAAACTCCATAATTTCGAATTGGGGATTTGAAAACACACTTCCTACACTTGAGGGTGATCAAGAGAGAGTTTGTGAACTAAGGAGTTCATCATTTCCTTAGAAGGTGAATTTCACAAACCTTTTATTTTCTTGCATTTCTTACTTATTTTGCTCTTTTGCTTTGATTTATTGTTATGTTGTATATTGTTGTAATATAATTGAAAGTGGTGAATTAATGTCCCATATATGTTGTTTTTAGCAAGAGAAAGAGACATTCCATGCTAAATGGTTTAATCTCTTTGGAGGTTCATTACTAGGGCATTACATCTCTCATGCCAAGAACAACTCCTTGTTTGACACTTCTTTCCATTTGGAGGACTTAAACTCACCATTGGACTTAATGAATTAAAGAATATATGGTAATTTGAAATTGAGTAACTAAAATTGAGGCTAAAATGGTGCAAGATAATAATTTGGTTGTATTCGATCGGACGTTAATTGAACACATGGAAACTTGAGGCAATTTATACTCATTAGTGATGAAATGATTCAAGTTTCCAAGGTTACCACTTCCCTTAATCAATTCATGAAAGGAAAGAGGTTACAGTCATATTTTGTTGCATTTATTGAACTTGCACACTTTGATTCACAAGCCATCATGCAATGAAATTATTTGAGTTAGTGGTTTGTGGCTTAAGTTTATTTCTCCTTTGATT